GATTTCGTCACGACTATCCAGAATTTCCCTTTCTTAAATGTTGCAAAAAGTTGTACGTTTTTTAACTTAAGTAGGCAAGGAAGCGATGTGGTCCAAATGAACTCAAATGGTACCACTGTCCTCCCGGCCCCTCTAACAAAACAAATGAATGAATACACAAACAAGTGAATAATTTAATACATTTTGGGTCAGAGAAGTTATACAAAAACAATGAGAACAGGTTGACCGTAAAAAGGAGATTACCGGATCACTTGGCAGAATATCGCGTCCCACGACAAAATGAGCGGCCTTCCCATTCTCCCAACCATCTTTCGTCAGTTTAATTTATAAATTGTCTCTAACCCGTGTTTTCCTCCTTTAAAAGAAGCTGGATTCTTAACGGCTTTTTTGGAAATTTTGAATTGGTGTGAGTGATCTGTTGGGGTCTATTCTTTCAGCTCGTGTCATTCCTCGAGGAAACATGATTCGCGCGACCGCAAGAAATAACACGCGTGAACGAGTAAGAACGCGCAAGCGTGAGAGTTCGTGAGAAAAGCGCGTGGGCGTGCGCGAACGTTTAGTTCGCGGGAGATTACTTGCGGCATCAGTATACAGGTATTTTTATACTAAAGGAAACAATTTTTATATTTTGGAAAATGAATTATCGAGATGTTTAAGGGAATACTCGGGATTCTGGTTGCCCATGTTTACTTCCAGTTGACTTGGTGTTTCTGGGGAAGGAACGCGTGACGATCCCTCAGAGCGTCTGCGTGGGAAGCTGTGCCCAGCCCAGTCCAGCCAAATCTATTTATGTCTTTGCGGTTACGACCCCGCCAAACACACTCCAGTAACTTGACGGTTTTGTGTTTATTCCTTTCCTTGAGGAAAATCATTAACATTACGGGAAAATTAATCCTTTGTTCAATAGATGACCGTCACTTCAAGTAGCATTCGTGACTAAAATTTACGTTACAAGAATGTCACGATCTAATGCTGGTCACGAAAAGTTGATCCAAACCTAAGAGGATTGAAAGAAATCAAACAGAATTCTGCAGAAACCAAGTGCTAGCGTGTACGTTGGCGTTGATGTTGTCAATTCCTGTCAATGTCAGTGTTGTTGGAGACAACAAATCTCCCTAGTTCCGAGTTAACGGCTCCGTTACATGCCATGCGAGCTCGCGTTTCGGAAACGAAACGAACAGGAAATCCACCTTGTTTATCAAGAGCCGACATGTATTTCTCGAAAAGTCTGAGTATTTGTCAAAAAGTCAAGGAAATCCACAGGTACGTGAAGTGCATTCATCATATTTCCTGTTTTGCACCAAGGTCATTGATTGTTCGTATTTACCCTGTGGGCTACGAGGCACTTCTTCAACACCTAACCAGTATTCCTTCTGTCTGTTTACGAGGCGGTTTTTCGTGTTTGTTTGCCCTTTAATCCCTGCTAATTCCATCGAATCTCTTTTGCCCGGAAGAGCCAAGCCAAAAACAGGGTTAGCACGACAACACGACATCATTGTTTGCCGTTGACAATCACACAGGACGGTAAATTTAGGACCCTCGAATGAGTGTTTAGTTACATTTTATCGTGAAACCGCAAGACTTATCCCCGTACTTAAAACCTGGTTATTATCAAATGCCAAGGAGACTATTAACGACTTTGGGGACTGTCAAACGTTTCGTGCCAAGGGGAAACGCTACAAAAATCCCAGACACGGTGGTCGGGAGACAGCGCGTGATTAACGTCATCCAACACAAGAAACCGACGAAAGAGCCAATTGAGAAGCCCAGCGTTGTGTTCACGTTAACTGTGAATCTGGTGTGAAGTCACCCCGAGTCAATACCTGACATATTTAGTGAAATGCGGCTTCGTCTATAGACTTCTATAAAGCGAAGGATCGTTTTCCGACGGGCTCCAGTTCAATTTCGTCGACTAATGGCTAACGGTATGACAAGATTGAATGTCCCGATGCTATTCCTGTGGTTTGTTCTCCTCTTTAATGGTATGTGGCATATATTTGTCTTGAAATTTTATGTCGTCTTATTAGCTTGCGAAATGTCGAACGACTGATCAAAGACGGACTCATCTGTGCTGTTGAGATAACTTTGTGCTGAAGGAAAACGTTGTATATTAATTGAGCTCTTAACTGACAATTAATTCATCACACATGGGAGAGATTGCTATCAGAAGAACTGTTGACATTTTCTTGCAAAGCGAACTAAACTGTAAGGTAAAACAGACACTAAACGACTTCTGTGACAAGCAGAGAGTTGAACATTAGGCGTGAAAACAATTCAGCAATAAACAAGTTGTACAATTAATCAGATATCAGTCCTGTCTGGAAATGAAGGATTGAACTATAAGGCTGTGGCGTTATCTCGAAAAGATAAGATTGCAGCTTGGATATTTTACTGTCTCAGCGCTGATTAAATAAGCGGGGAACTAAATGGGCTTATCTTCTTCGAGGGGGAAGGTTGTTCGTGATCTTCGTATTATCGCGTTCTCTTAACAGCTGTAGGTTTTTCGTTTTCGTGTTGTATCTTATTATCTTTTAATAAGGTCTTAAACGATCTTAGCTTGTGGTTAGAAAAAAATTATATTGAAATTTATATCAAACATGACGAGCATGCAAAAGAAAACCTTAGTTTGAAATTCAAAGAATCGTGTTCGCCGTATTTAAAGGGAATAAGTTGGCGGTCAACGTTTTTCTTTCAAACTCCGGAAATATACATACATCGGGCAACAGACTAACAAAACAACTGCTAAAACAACAACAGTCAGTTTGTTTTATACCCAACTTTAGTGGATCGTTCAAGTTCTTATTTAGCACGTCCTTAGCTTTATCGTTACACTGATTGCGAGTTAATCCAAACACGAATCAAAACGCTAAATGTGCTCTTCTAAGTGTACCATGCATTCCACGAAAAACGAAAATGGTTGAAATTATTTAAAGTGGTAGGTCGGATTTAAGTGTTGTTGTTGTTTTTTGTTTTCAGTGTCCGTAAATTCTCGTGCCCCTTTAAATCAGTGATACCGTGGCTAAGGACATGACATCCCTTCATGATCATCAGACCGTCTTTGTTTGTCTGTTTATTTTCCTACAGTGTATCATATCCAAGATAATCGTTAACAAAAATAGCGTGGAACGGAAAGCCGGCAGATCTATTTCAAAGCTAATTCCGTCCACACTAATGCGCGGTCATTTACAAGTGCGTGATACCCACTTATTGCGTTTTGCCTTATAGCCACACAAAAACAATGGTAGCTTTAATTTTTAGCATCAAACACAAAAAGTGATCATTAGAAATGTTTTTTCCTTGGTATGAAAATGAATCATTGTTCCAAATAACAAATCAAAACTACACAAATTACAAAATTATCTCATTTAATCTTTCTCCAGCCTGCAAACAGGCTCCCGGCGAGGACGGAAAAAAAATTTCAGCGAGCGCGAAACAGGCAGCCTGTTCGCAGGCTAATCCTTCTCTTTTGCGAAATACTATGCGGTTGTGAGAAGAATTGAGATCTTGAGAGATCGTCACATATCTGCTTAGACCGGGCATTTTAGTTGCAACAACTCACATTTACGCATTGCGGACCTATTCTTTGCTTTCAGCATATCCAGCAAAAGCAGTGAGACCCGGGCAATGCCCAGACTTTCCGCGCCAGCAGAACTGTCCCGGTTCTACTATCGACCAGTGCAAGTACGACGAAGACTGCAAGGAGAACAACCAGCAGAAATGCTGCAAGATTGGGTGCAGAAGGATTTGTTTTGATCCCAGTAATTTGGCATTAGTCAGTGGTAAGCGCCTTATGTGAATCCACTTTGAAGTAAATAAAACAAAAACGACAAACAGATTCTCATCAAATTTTCAGATGCCGAGAAGAGGAACGAAAATACGATGCACGGCGGAGTATTTTTGACGAGTTTCGAGGTGGTCAAATTAAAAATAAAATCCTAACTCTTTTTAACAATTAGATTATGAGCTCGAGATTTCTTTGAGGTGATAGTTGAGGAGGGAGAAGGCCGAACAACTTTCGCCCCATAGAAATTGAGCGAATAATCTCATTTCCTTTCAGTTAGCATTAAAATTCTAGCTTTCGAAAAATCCTGCAGAGTGAATTGTCATTTCAAATTTGCAATACATTGTGTGCGCACTCATCAGGTTTTTCAAGAGCTTCGAGATTTTAACGTGATCAAACCGCCTACATGTATGTTCCTTGTTTTAGTCTTTTTCGGGATTTAAGTGTACAATAGCCCAGCCTATCAGATCGCAGCATTTTCATAAGTATACCAGTAGAACTCTATTATAAGTGCAACATCCCACCATTCTCCTGACTCGCTGTAAGTCGCACCATTTGAGGCGATTATCACGCTTTGTAAAAATTGCACAAGTCTGATACTCAAGTTTGGTTTTTGTCTGAAAAGAGACATTATAAAGCTACCAAAGGTGAGTTTAGTCCAATTTGTACTAATAATCATAAAACTTACATAATCGTAAAACTTACCTGGATTTGTATCTTGATGCATGCGCAAACTACAAAATTATGGCGACCTGACGGTACCTTGTTCATGTAACAGGTAACAGTGTGTGCCCATCATTACCGAGACCCGCTCCGTGCCCAAATCAGCCGAACCAGTGTATCAGCAAGACAGACTGCAGCACTGGACAAGAATGTTGCTCTGACGGCTGTCGAATGATTTGTGTTGAACCTCTACTTGCTCCGCTCAAAACTGTTCCAATAACGAAAGCGGTCAAAACTTTTCGTGAGTATTTTTTTTCTTATGTTTAGTTGTAGTGCCCGTTGTGTAAAGAAGCTACAATCTTGGTCGAGATAAACAGAGTTTTCCTCGCGAGAACACGACTCCTTAATGATTGAATTGATTTCATAACCGAGTTACAAGAGGCGGAAAGTTTTCCTGAACCACACAACCGAACCACTTTCACGTAGTTTTAGTTTTTTTATTAAATCCATTTTGAAATCACCGGTTATCCTTACAATCTAGTTGGCTCTCAGTGGTGCGATTTATTGACGAATCGCGCTATTTTTTGCTCTAATATAAATCGAATCCTTTTCTCAGCCAATGAGAATGAGTAGAATGGGACAGTAAAACAAAACAACCGATCATATTTCAAGGTTAATTTAAAGTAATCAATAAAATTTTAGGAAAATTAAGGCAAAAAGCCATTGTGTGGAGAATTTTGCAACCACTACTGCCAAAACTTTGTTGTTATTGTTGTTTTTTCCCCCAAAAAAAATTGATGAATTGAATTAATTACAGTTTCTGAATGACGATCATGAGCTCCTTCAGGCTGAAGACCTACTTTAATGGAAGTT